CTTACGAAGGCAGATGTTGGGCATGCGATACGCCATCAAACTTCGTCAGTTCCCTTCCCATCCTGCTCACGGACCGGCTTTCTCCAGGTCGCTCTTAGCAGTCTTTGATGGCGACGAGAGGAGCCGCTCTAGAGTTTTCTGCACCCGAACGGCCGATCTCCTCCGAGATTGTGGCCTAAGCACTCGGGACATCATGCGAGTTGCTATCCTGCCTGAACCGCCTTGGAGGTTATCTGTCCCCTCTGTGGACCTAACCCTATCAGGCACACGGAAAGACCAAATTCTGCCTCTGGCCTTCAAGGCGAAGGCATTGGAACATATTGAATCATATTCAGGCCATGCCGTGGCATACACCGATGGGTCCAAGTCGGACCTCGGTGCTGGCTGTGCCTTCGTCTGCGGCGACGCTGTGCGATGTTTTACTTTATCTAAACATGCATCCGTTTTTACCTGCGAACTGGTCGCCGTCCTCAAACTTTTATGTTTTATCCAGATTCATCCCGCTCGGTCATATCTTGTCCTCTCCGACTCATTGAGCGGACTCCAGTCCTTGACACAATTCTATCCACTTGACCCCCTCGTACAGGAGATTCTTCTCCGTTTGACGGCTCTCGCCCGAGAGGGTACCTTAGTGACTTTTTGCTGGATTCCTAGCCATGTTGGTATAGCTGGCAATGAGCGGGCGGACCGTGCTGCGAACCATGCGGCGCGGCAGCCCTGCTCCCGCCGGTTCCCTCCACCGGCCAGGGACTTTTTCCCTGCGGTGAGCTCATTCTTCCGCGGAAAGTGGCAGGAGGCTTGGAGCAAATGTCAGACAAACAAGCTGCTACGCATCAAACCGGGTTTGGCAACCTGGTTGTCTGCGTCACGCAAGTCGCGTCGAGAGGAGGTCATCCTCTGTCGGCTTCGCACAGGACACACTTTCGGTACCCATGGACACCTTATTGGCGTCGGCCCAAGACCTGTTTGTGCGAGATGTGGCGACAGACTTTCCGTCCGACACGTTTTTCTGGAGTGTCCAAGACTGGAAGCTGAGCGGCTGAAATTTCTGGGCCTGCGCGGGGCCCAGCTTTCTTTGAGAGCAGTCTTAGGTGACGAGTCCTCTTTGCTTGACTCTTCTCGCCTCTTTTCGTTTATTGCGGCCTCCGGCCTTCAGGTGATTTTTAACGCCCGACACTGAGGAAGTCAAATAAGAAATGGGCGCGATATAGCCTCGCAGCTGGTGCGCCCTGTCACTCCAAATCATCATCATCATCTCACTGATCTATGACGTCATAAATGAACATGTGCAAGGTCGTAAAATGTAGCAAATTCGTTAGACCCTCAATGGCAGAGGAGCTTTCATAGGGAGATGAAGCCTACAGGACATAGTATCCTCCAGAGGTCTCACAACTTTATATCTCGGAGTTTTCATACGGGTCACCTGAAATCAGACCAGCCGTGTGACCTCATCATTGTAACTCAATGGGTAAATATGACAACTGTTATTTTGGCGCCGCGAATCATTAATGATCTTAAAGTAGGTATCTTAAGGACATGATATCCTTCTCCTTGCATGGTTCGATACTTCATTTTTGCATTGGTGGCCTTTCGTGACGTCACCAAGGTCATATGAGTTTTTCTCCAATAACTCCCGATGGAACTGAGCTAGCGAGTAGGGAAAGCTACCAACTGACTCTAGAAGACCTACCGAATCGAATGATATATGACCTCCTTTGACCCACGAGCCGCTTGGGAAGGTGGCATAAAGCTGCCCCCTTTACGTTTTGTGTAATATCTCCGAAACCTGATAAAACATGAGCTTGTTACATGATATACGTAGCTTCAAATGAATAGCTATACCATATTTAAAGAAAGGTTGATGGGCGCAGCACTTAAAATGACGTCACAGTGTCAAATCGAACACATTCCATGTCAAATCGAACAAAAATCGGCTGTTTTGCACCTTACCATCAACGATTTCATTATAAGTTTGTGAGCGAGTTCCTGTGTCGCTCCGGACATTACACTGACATTTTTGCACATTCTGACCTGAAAGACCTGACCACAGGTCTTTTAAATATAGGGCATCAAATTTTTACAAAATGTTGCATCTTTATATTTTTGAACGACCATAACTTAGGCTGTACTTGTTTGATTTGAATGACATGATACACTTCAACGGTAAAATAATCGTTCTAGAAGTTGTTGACTTCTTCTAAGGGCAATTTTTTTTTTAAATCATTCAAAAGGACGTAATTGACAAAACCCGTTGGTAACTGCACCCGGGGGATGGCACATTTACCATTGAAATGCGCCCCCACTGGCGCAATCAAATCACTGAAAGTAGTTTGCTTACCTACACATGCTATTCAGTTGCGCATATCAATAAAAAGCGAAGTTCAAATTTGGCACATACCGATGAATACCTATGTACGACTACGCACCGTACGTATTCATATCTTGCAGTAATTGAGGGTGAAGATGTAGGACGATCATTAGCGTCGCCACGGGGGGGGGGGGGCAAGCGGGGCAGCTTGCCCCCCCAACCTCGGACCGGGCACCCCCTGAGATCGATAGGGGAAGTTGGGGCAATGCCGGAGTTAGGGCAAAGCCGAAATTCAAGATATTTCGAAAACTGTACTACATGGATGCCACCTGTCAGTGATGTTCTGAAGCTTAAGTGACTACAATTATCGCATGTTTGTTACGAGTCGTCATTCGGAACACTTCGGCTGTGAGGGTGCCAAGAGCGTTTTCAAGGTACGTTTCCCTTGCACTACATGCGCCTTTGAAGCTGCATTTCTTACTCATTATGCTACCGTTTGTCTGGCCAATTCGGTCAAGTAATCTTCAGCATGTCTTTGCATAAGCGTGCTGCCTATTTGAAATTTATACAGCACGTTTAAAAGTTATGGGCCTGCAAATGAAAGTATGGCTGGCTGGGGTAATGCCGAAAACATGCAATTACGCACGTTAAAGCACGCTACGTGGACTTAACTGCTGTAGAATAGCAACGCGTATTTTTAGTCACACAAATTACACTTTCAACCGACACAACGGCCTGTTACCTATAAGGAATTATTTACCTGGCATTTTCTTATTATATCACACAATTATAACTTCCAGTGTGCACCAAGCGTCCTCAAGCTCTTAAAACGCGTGTCAGCTTTGATGAACTCTGGATAAAGTTTGAGATAAAATGGCAAAACATCAATGTCGGCATTCCCCGTAGATCATTTCTCCCATTTTCGGCTTTCCCCGCAGTCCGGGGCAACGCCGAAAAAGTCACTACTTTGATATTTTTAGTTTGTGCGCTTAACGGTATGCGAATTCATCAAATGCGCCTGGTATGTTTGAAAGGCAAAAGACTGGTCTCTCGAATGACGCCAACAAGAATAGCTTATGTTGTCTACCTTGAGTGCTACGGGCGTCAGAAAAAAAGTATTCGGCATTCCCCCAACTTCCCCTACAGATCCGATGAGATTTTGGAGTCGGGAAAAATGGGGGTACCTTTCTGAGAATGTCTGTGAGGTCAGACTCGGTTGGAGCAGAGTCTGACTCGCAGTTGCCAAAATCTTCAAGACTCCGAGTCCAGACTCGGAAATGTCAATGCTGTGATTCATTCCATGTTCCTGTAGTTCGTTCTTTATTACATTTTACAGCTGATTTGCATAAGTTTTGGAGTGCTGACACAATTTTCGTTCAAAGCGTGAAACGAAATCTTCGGGGCCTTTCTCAACTCTCGTCAAATGTCTGCGACAGGCTCAATTACCGTACAAGTGTCGCAGGGCTCATGAGCTTGCTTTAAACAAAGGCTCCTAAGGAGCTCCACTGAGCCCTAAAGAAGCTTTCAGAGGGCCCAAACGGGCCTCTGAAAGTCCCACTGGTGTCCATGCTCTCTGAGGGCCCATACAGGGATCTTTGAGCCTTCGAACATTTCTGAGAACCTTAACTGGCCTCTGATAGTTCAGCCAAACCTTTGAGGCGACAGACTTTGCTAACCCCAAGCCGGCATCTGAGGGGTCACAGCTCACGTGTCCCTCTGAGGTCCGCAACACATGTTTATTATGTCCCTACGTAAGGTCCTTAGGGATTCGACACAGACCCCGAGGGTCTGTGTCGAATATGTGGGTCACTGTTATCCGAGGGCTCCAGGCTCACCCTGGGCCTAGTCTCTTAGCGCCCGCCGCCCACACTGGCTTCTGAGGGCCCCACCTTGGGCTCGGAAAGCCCTAAAGCACCACGTACACGTAAACATTTGAGGTGACCCACGCCGATCTCCGGGATCCTAAGCATGCTTCTGAGAGTCAGCACTGGCCCTGAGTGGCCTGAAATGGCCTGGAAGTCCCAAACCTATCTCTAAGGGATCTCTTGGCGCTATGCCGTGCGTAACTTTTGGTTCCGTTTAACAGTTTTTGTTCGCGTTTGCAGCGCTTCCCTTCACACGAAAAACGAGAAACTTTTGTTCACACTCGAGTGAACAAAACACTTCCTCTCACTTGAGCAAAGATGAATTACTTCCGATTCACACTTCCGACATTCACTCTCCGCCGAATGCCCAACTTAGCTACGATCGGTGGCTGGGATAAGTCCAATGCATTTTACGTAAAACCTCTACATACATGCGTGAATGGAGGTTTAAGCAGGGTGATCCGATTAAATGGAGCGTTTTTCACCTTTTCTGGGTAATGATCATGAGCGTCGAGCGTCTACACAGGGGCCCTCTGCAGTGCGTCGGCAATCGCAGCCACTATATACTATAATTCTACCAGTTGTTTTTGTCATGAAATTTCAAAATTTCGAATTTTTCTGTAAAAAAATTACATGTCATAGCTAGAAGAAAACCTTTGTCACCATCGGATTCCTCGCACCATTGCGCGTCGAATGATATGTAAAACGAGTGAGTAAAGACTGGGGAAAGGCAAGTTTTAACACAAAAGTTAATTTTGCCCCCCCCCCCCCCCAACCGAAAATCTCTGGCGACGCCTATGAGGACGATGGTGCAGAAAACTTTCCAATGCTTAAAAACAGATGTATTCCCATCCTCCTTCCAATTGGGCGAACACCGTAACTTCAAACACGTAAAACGCGAAGCTACAATAAGTGAATACTGGTCCAATACTCACTGAAAGCCTGCAGTGTCCTTATGACTTAGCACGACTGTCAGTCGAATAAGGCTCGACACACTACAATGAATGAACCAGCATGAATGAACCAAAAATAAGAGGGATGAAAACTATGAAACACATCTCATCAATGAACCAGTAGGTGTAGGCACCTATGACTCTTTGTACTTACCTACGACATAATCACAGACAAATCCTGCGCTCGAACTTCCCTGAGAACAAATATCGTGATGTACTCAACGACAAAAATCACAGACAAATCCCGCGCTGGAATATCCCTGCGAGCAAGCATCGTGACACCAATTCTGACAGGCCTGACACTGAAGCCAGAGCTCATTCTGGCCTCTTACACCTTCTCCGCAGAAAATGCACGTATCTTGAGCCTCCTTCACGCTAAGACTGTTCTTTCTCATTCTTTTCTTCCCGTCCGCTTCTTTGCTTGCCTCTTGGCTGGCCGTGCATTCTTTTCCTTTTCCTCAAGCCTCCGCTTCGTAGGGGAACTGGTAAGTATCGTAGATCTCTGACACTTTACTTTTCGCTTGACCTCCCTCGGGGAAGGAATTGGTACTTTTAGCACATCTGATACTTTACGCCTTTCGCTTTCGCTCTTCTTCTGTCCGAAGCGGTCCATAAGCAGCTTGGTTATCGACTGAACTACCGCTTCGTCGCCTGGTTTTAGCTCTTCGTCACACTCACCTCCGGAAACAATGTCATCTATGTCAATATCGTCAAACGGCTCAGGTCACCCAGCCGCTGCTCCCCGGGCAGAATGGCCGGAACATCCCTCTAACGGGTCCTCCGTCAGCTGGCCAGACCGTCCTCCTGACGAGTTCTCCGCCAGCTCGCATGAACATCCCCCTGTCAAGTGCTCTCCCAGTTGACGAGAGCGTCCCCCTGCCGGCAGAGTTAAAACACGGCTGAAATCATGGTGTGTAAATAACGTCATCACACTCGCCACCATCACTATGTGATGACTGACGAGGGCGTGCTGATGGTGCACCGGGTAGATGTCGTAGACCGTTACAAAACGGCGTTACGTTAAAGCGACGGGAGTTCAGGTGAGTTTCAGAGTGAGCTGGAAAGAGTTCCGGTACATTCGGCATTCGGGATAAGGAAATAATTACGTCAGGCCTAACGACCGAAATAAGCTGAAGAAATTGCAGATACGCATATGGCGCGAACGTGTGCTTTTTACATGGATTGAAAACAAACCGATGTGCAGTGCCAGTGTTCCATTTTTCGGAAATTTGGGTGGAAAATCACACCTAATGAGCAAAATATTTGCATCTCAAAACCAGGAAAAATGGAATTCTTTTATGTTTGAAAAATGTTCGACGCATTCAAACAATTCACATCCAGATTACATACCAATGAATTGACAGTTGATAAACCCACATCCTTTTCTTTCAGATCCTGTCAAGATGAAGATCCTAACAAGAAATCCTGATTCCTGATCAATCAATCCTACACTGAGCAAATTGCCAGCTGTGGAGGGCTAAAACGATGGGTGGCCGCTTTGCCCCACTCTCCGGTGGTCGCGATCTAGCCTCCTTTGTACACCTCCTGCTTTATGACGCCCCATAGGTCTTCGAGTGGAAGACTACTTGAGGTACAGCCCACCGCTAAAGTAGTGTGTGGTTTTACCAATCTCAACGGATGGCTTTGACCGACGATATTTAAATGCGGACTGATTGAAAAGAAGACGTCAATAGATAAAGTTGTAGCTGTAAGAATGAAGATACATGTAAGCTACATTTAAAGTCTCGTTGCAGTCTGGCTAATCGTTCCTAGGCTTCAGAAGCAGAACATACCCATGACTGAAACCACACATTACTTCTGCTGTGGACTGTACTTAAAGGGACCCTCCCACCTTCAAGAAAGTTAATGAATTGGCATGAAAGTGATGTCGCTCGGTTCAGAAAGAGCAAAAACGAATATCTACCAAATTTCATCGAAAAATATTCACCGGTTTTCAAGATATTAGACTTTTACTTTTGTTTACTTTTTGGGATCTCCGCTGTTCCTAGCGACTTTATTTGAAAGTGCGGCATTTGTTGCGCGCAAAGCAGCATATACCACCGCGTGCTACAAAACGTTTTAGTCAAACATTTAACGGACGTTCGAAAGCCTGATGACGTCATCAGATTCCCGTAATGGTTAAGAGATAGGGACCACGCTGGTCCCACCCTGCAAGTAAAGGGAAGAAATTTCTTGAACACCATAAAGCTGCGGGGGTTGCGACCAGGATAAATGGTGGTTTCTGAGCCTGGCCGCAAACTTGGCTATCTCAACTCAAAACTAATGTTAAGGTGGGAGGGTCCCTTTAAGTCTGACTGAGTGGCGACTGGCGAGCTGTGACAACTCTTGTACGTGCGGGTGTATGGGGGTGTGTATGTGTGTGGGTGTGGGTGTATGTATTCGACGATTTTTTGTATGTGTTCTTTTTCCGTAAAATTTCGAGGTATGGTAAAACTTGTAGAGAATTCGGAAGGCCTGTCACGGAACTATGCATTTGTTTAAAGGTAGTGTGCCAGCTTTCTTGGACCATGTGGAGTTAATGACCCGGATAAGGAGAACCGGATTTTTAGAACTTATCCATACCTTCAAAACTCACGGAAACGTCTTAAATTCTTCAAATTTTGAGTACCCCAGTGCGAAATTCGCCCCGACGGGTTGTCGGTCGTACCCTAACCACATTTCACACCACTATGAACAATAAATCCACACACTAAAATCGCTATTACCGATAGGCTCATCCAATCAAGTTTCGATAAACCCGTTCATCATCATCTCCTGCGGTTTCGAACACGCCTGTTGGGTGGCTTCTGATGCTCGTCGAGGTCGGAATTTCCAAATACGCGTGGTGCGTCGGGCCGCGCGCTCTGACTTCGGCCAAGAAAAATGCGTGAGCTGATCATTGTCATTTCTGCCACTTGCGTGTGGTGAAATGGGGTCATAACTTAAGAGATGGCTGTTTCATATCAGTTATTTTACATAAAATTATATTTCAAAGCATAAATTAATGTTCGACAGCCAAATTAAAGAAACAATACCAATACAGGCTTACAGTTTAAGTTCAAAATTGTGTTGTCTACGATTAGACAGCTGATAACTCATTCCCGTACGTCGTAACTCTATAATGACCTTTGCTTATTGTCACATGTGCGCCGCATTCGCGATTGTTGCCGACGCCTGTTTGCAGGTCAGCCCACTACAGTTGTTATACATATCGAAAAACCGATAAACTTTTAGGCAAAAAAGGCACTATTCCAGGCCCATTTTTTTGCGATATTAGGTAAAAACAGAAGCTTCTTATCCTAGGAAAAATAAAATGGGAAATCATTGGAAGGTGGCACACTACCTTTAAAGGGACATGTTCATGGGGAATGGAGTTGAGATAACAGTTGTTCTAAATGAATTTGTATATAACCTCGCGTTGTGTATTATCTTAACATCTTAACGATATTTCTTAAAAAGTGATACTTTACTTAACCCTCGCACGACCAGGCCATTTCTCATAACACGAACGACCAGGGGGGGGGGGGGTTGTTACGACCCCCCCCCTGGCGTTTCGAAACGGAAGGTCGTAGAGCTTAGCGGAAAAAAACCAACGGATTGCTCTTCAACGAGATCTCGCGATTGGTGGTATATTTTTTGGTCCTAGGTCAACATTTGACCTACTTTTGACCGGTCCAAGGTCAAATTTTCGGAAAAATAGACTTTTTCAACTTTCCGCGGCGATTGCGGCAAAACGGTGGGAGATATCGACTTGAAACCTTCACTATCGTGTTCCTTGATCAATTCTCTATCGTTTGGTATGTATTTCGTTTCCCTAGCTCTAAAAATGGCGCGTTGGGAGCGCCGGAAGTCGGCAAGGTCACAGTCGGCGGCAGAAATTCGAAAAATCAAAATTTAAATTTTTGAAATCTGATTGTATTTTTGGATTTGGAAGGTCCATTTGCTCCTTATAGAAGCTAATATTGCTGCATATTGCCATTGAGGTGACAAGAATTAGCAAAATAGTGGTTCGGGCGCTTTTCAAAAATAGTACCGGACGCTGTTCCTCTTATGACGTCATAACTCCGTGACCTGACCTGACCCGGTCAATTTTCTTGCACCACACGATAGCCAATGCTTGCCCCAACATGCATGGGAAGTTTCATCATGATCCATCAAACAATGTGGGTATCACCGGCAGAAAACCTAGGGATTCGGCGCACACGTTTGGTAACTGTCGGCCGGAGGCTGTACCTCTTATGACGTCATAACTCCGTGACCTGACATGACCCGATCAATTTTTTTTCGGCAAAAGATGCGCAAAGGTTGCCCCAGAGGGTATTGAAAATTTCAGCCCGCTACGACAAGCCGTTTAGCGTGCACTTCGAAAAAAACCTCAGGGGGGGTTGATACAACCCCCCCCCCCTAGGCGTTCTAGGGTTAATTCTTAATGCTACTTCAAAACACCACGGTTGCTCAGTTCCAACAACTTTTATTTCTCTTCTCGTATTTTCACGGCGCAAGATATGCGCCTCGCGCTATGCCTGCTACTCATCCTCGTCTACATCTCCCCCCCCCCCTCTTTGGACTGACCTGTCAATCCAACACATAGCTAACTCAGAGACCACCTCCTATGGTAGTGGTTCATCGACACTGAGTTTGACCAGTTTGACTACTGGTCTCGTGACTGTTTTGCCCTTCAGCTTGACTGAGACCACTCTGACATGACCGTCAGCACCTGGCATCACCTCCTCCACACGACCCATTGGCCACTTCCCCCGTGGTGCGGTTAGATCGGTCACCAACACAACGTCACCAGAGGCGATGTCGATCTGAGGCTGAAGCCACTTCTGCTTCTGCTGCACTTCTGCTACCTGCCATCTCGATGTCTGATGGTCCTGTGATAAAGTTGGCAGGCGTCAGTGGAGGCTCGTCATCAGGGTCAGCAGACAGCACCGTCAGCGGTCTGGTGTTCATGAGCGCTTCTGCCTTGCAAAAGGCTGTCTGGAGCTCTTCATCCGACAGATCGGCATGTTCCAGGGTTTTCACCAGCGCTCTTTTCGCCATCTTAACCATGGCTTCGCAGGGTCCATTGAAATGCGGAGCACCGGGCGGTGTGAATGTCCATTTTGTGTGCGACTTCAGGAGCTCCCGCTGTATTTTGTTGTTGTCTAGACGTTCCACAGCCTGCCTCAGCTCTTTGGAAGCTCGAACGAAACTTCTTCCGTTGTCTGATGTTATCTCCGTGGGTCGACCTCGTCTGGCTATAAATCGTATCAGAGCCCTGACGAAACTTGCAGTGTCCATTCCATACGTCATTTCTAGGTGAACGGCTCGTACTTGAAGGCATGTGAAGACGCATAAGTATCTCTTCTGACGAGCTTTTCCTCGACCCTGCTTCGTAATGAATGGACCCGCAAAGTCCACTGAGCACTTGTCAAACGCACGGTAAGATGGGCAGACTTGAGAGCTCAGTTTGGGTGCCATCACTTGCGTCTCTGTTTTCTGGCGGAGTTTCTGACATGTCACGCACTGACGAATGCAGACTTTGATCATTTCCCTTGCCGCAGGAATCCAATATCGTGTTCTCAGTTCAGCCAAGGTGTGCTCTACTCCTACTCCGTGTCCTGCATCTTCATGGATTTGTCGGATGATCAGCCTACTGACTGGGTGTTTCTTCGGGAGAAGAATCGGGCGTTTTGCATTGTAGCTGAGGTCCGATCTTTGCAATCGACCTCCGACACGGATCACGCCGAATTCGTCCATGAATGGACTCAGCTGCCTGACTTGGCTCTCACGACATGCTTTTTTGGAGACGAAGTGACCCGTCTGCACCTTCGTCAGCTGCTTCACTTCTACGGGGAAGGACTCTTCCTGAACTTGTTTGATCCAGAATC